GAGGATTTGGGAAATCCGGACGAGGGTTCAAGGATAATCGTAACAATATGTATTGTATGTTCCTTACGTTTTTATACATACATACTGTAAAAGTGATAAGGCTTTTAACTTATCTATTAACGATTTAACTATTCTTTAAAATAGATAATTTTACGGCCCTTAATATGCTTAATTTGTTAAATGGCCCATCAAGTCGATTGACCGTATATGTTCTTGTGGTGTGATTGTACCAGCTGCTGGTGTCGTGAGTGGTGAAATTAGCTAAGTAAAAAGTATTTTGGCGGAAATTTCTTTTACTATATGAGTCAAAGCCGTGTTTGTGGAAGACTACGTTGCCGATATTGCAGTTGTGAATTAAAAAAAAAAAAAAAAAACAATGTTTAACAAAATGGTAGTAAAATTATGAAATTACGGCTCTAATCATTTCGATATTTCCTCGACCTCATTTGTAAAGAAATAAATACTGTACCAGCATGCTGGTAAGTTATATGCTTCGGGCCTGATGGTACAATCACTTGATGTAGCCAGCAACCTGGTGTCGTATATTTCCCCTTTTATACAAAAAGGTTTTTAGTTGGATGAAATATTTGCTTTTTTTCAGAGTTCATTGTTTTTCTATACCATTACTTATTGAAAATGTTTGCGCGTATACTTACATGTGTATATTTAAGTAAAAAATTTTAGCTACCATTTTTAGCCACAACGCCTTATTTTAGTTCTTTTTTAGCCCTTTTTTTTAAAGGAATTTGGCTACCACTAAAAAGATTCGCGGCAACACTGGTGTCAATCGGTTGCAACAAGGAGAATTTATACAAGGTGGTGTTGATGGCGAATTTATATTTTCGCCGCGGTTCTTCCAAGGCGAATTTATACAAGGTGGTGTTACTGGCGAATTTAGATTACAACAACAACAATTGCATGTGTTTGGATTGTGGGTGTCATGTCAATCCTCAATTCGCCCCAAAGTTTACATTATTTTGTTTTTGCTTTTGACGAGTGTGCTGCCAAATCAGTAAAAGCAAAAACAAAATACATTTAAGGCGAAGAAATCAGCTGATCTTACAACACCACCTTGTATAAATTCCCCTTGGGTACTTCCTAATGTCAAAATGATTTGTATGTTGTAAACAAGGCGACTTCATATTTCAATAAACACATCATTTTGACATTAACAAGGCGAATTAATACACGGTGGTGTTGATGGCGAATTTAGATTTTCGCCGCGGTACTTCATAATGTCACAATGATGGGTTTGTTGTAAACAAGGCGAATTTATATTACAACAAACACACTATTTTGACATTAATAAGTACCGCGGTGAAAATCCGAATTCGCCATCAACACCACCTTGTATAAATTCGCCTTGTTCATTAAAAAGTACCGCGGCGAAAATCTAATTTCGCCATCAACTCCACCGTGTATAAATTCGCCTTGGGTTGCAATTTCAACCGATCGTTTCGATTTGTTGCCTGTTTGTGGCCCACCCAAAGAATTTTCTCCATTAAATTTGATGCGATGTGGCATCGCTAACAAAATAAAAAGTATTTTTGTGAACTGTCAAATTTCTATACTTTCAATTTTACTTTAGTTTTTAGTTTAACTTTTAAATACTGAAAACTACAATACTAAGAAAATCGTTGAATATAAAATTGTAAGCGTTCCCAAGTAAACAAATTCGAAATTCCAAAATCCATTTAACAAAAACTTGATTGACGTGGGGTAATAGAAAAGCCAGCGATGCCCCAACATTACAAACTGCAACAACAAAGTAGTCAAAATAGTGCATCTGATAATGGCAAAAAGAGAAGTGCAGGAAAAAACATGGCTGAGTCCGATCAGAAAAACCAAAAGCGGGGGTTGTGGAGGGGAGGAGGAACTGGCGATGCCGGGGTACTAAGGCAGCAGCACAACTCTCAACCGGATCAGTTATTGCATGTAACAAAAGAAATAGCCAATCAGTCAAACAGTAAAATCCAAGAAAATCTCTCAAACATGTGCATGGAGCAGCTACAGCTACAAATGCAAACGATTTTATCGTTTAACCAAATCCCGCTGGCCTCTGCAAGCAATACCAATTCGGAATCCCATCAGAGTTACCGTCGGGGCTGGCTGGAACAGCAGGGGGAATCTAATGATTTGTTACAAACCGACCAGCGAAATTCCGAAAATAATCATCCGCTGAGCAAGTCTGCACGTTTACGCCAGAAACGTAGAGCTGCTCAAATAAATAGATACGTTGCTATTGATTGTGAAATGGTGGGGGTGGGTCACAACGGACAGGATGATATGCTAGCACGAGTATCCATCGTAAATAGACAGGGCAAAGTTCTGTTAGATAAATTTGTTAAACCATGGAATAAAGTAACGGATTACAGAACAAGCATTTCCGGCATAAGGCCTGAGGACATCCAAGACGGTGATGATTTTCATTTAGTTCAGGATCAGGTTGTTGAACTTCTTCAGGGTAATAAAAAGCGTTTAGCTGCTTAAGATTTAAAACCTATATCTTAGTATACACATACATGTACATATTCTAATTTATAATTTTTCAAGGAAAAATCCTGGTGGGACATGCCATACGCAACGATTTGGCTGTGTTACACATCAAACATCCGTTCAAAAATATACGCGACACTGCCCGGTACAAACCTCTTTGCCGTCTAGTTTCTAACGGCCGAACACCAAGCCTTAAACATCTTAGCCAAGTTATTTTGGGAATGGAAATACAAGTAGGAGAACATAACTCCGTGGAAGATGCACGTGCGGCCATGAAAATATATAATCGACTCCGGACCGACTGGGAAAGATATATACAAAAACAATAGAGGCAAAACAAATAGAGAAAGTGTGTTCCAAGAAGCTCATTAACATGTGCCGATTTATTTTTTACGTGTACACCTAATACCGATTAAGTAACTTAGGTGTAAGTAGCTCAAATGCACCCCGACAGAGAAAAAAAATTAAATAAATCAAAAAGTAATACAAAAAACATAATAAAACTAAGGCCTCAACGAATTGACTATTAACTATCAGCTGGGGTTGCAAAAGACAAACGTATGTATGTATAAATCAAAATTTTAAATATAAATTTTGGACTAATC